CAGTCAGGCTGTCTTTCTGCCCGGATTGGGACTGAGGGTCCCTTTGGTTAACCCCTGCCGTTTATTGGAAGCTGGAAGGCCGGCCGGTTCTGTCCTGGAACCTGTCCTGGAACCTGCCCTCCGGAGCAGCTTCCCCTCCAGGGATCCCTAGGGTTCCCCCTTGGAAAATGTTCAGAGAGCTGCTGAAAAGCTGGCTGGTCTTCCAGGATCAGGAGGCATCTCAGCTGTGCAAAAAAAAAGAGGAAGCTGGGTAGATAGACAGACACAGAATCATGCAATCCCTGAACAGGAAAGTCCCCCTCAGCCATCCAGGCCGGATCCACAGCCGGACATAAACTTAGTGGGCAGACGGCTGCCCTTAGTCGCACTGTTGGGTGGGCACCGTGAAGGCTCCACCCAACTTTGGTGCCACGAGATCAGCTTCCACCATGAGTCACCTGGGTTCAGGTGCAGAACTGGCTAAAGGGGTGTCCGAGCCAGCTGAGGAGCAGAGGGCTCAGGCTAGCTGACCAGTGGCAGCTCTCGCCCCACCCCACGCCCCACCCCCGAGGGCCAGGAAAGAAGGGAAGCCCCACAGGCTGCCTGGGCACCAAGCCAGCGGCCCACCAGATCTAGTTTCTGTCCCAGGGCAGTTGGATCCGGCTGGAGTGGAGTGTGGACAGCACCCTCAGTCCGTGGCCAGCCTGACTGGTTGGGGCTGGTCGTTTTCCTGAGGACCTGATGGGGGTTTTCTGTGTCCGTGGTCTGGAGTGGGTTTGTGGTGAGGGCTTATCCAGGCTTGCTTCCATGTGGCCTCTCACTGTCTCGGTGGGGGTGGGGGGCTCTTGGGAGACGAAGCCCAAGAAGAGACGCCTGGGGTGCGGCTGAGGGGAAGACAGTGAGTGAACTCAGCCAAAGATGAGTAAGAGCCCGGATTACGCCTTGGCAGGAACGTGGCAAAGCATATTTTTCCTGCCGTTATGGCTCTGCAGTGGCCATCTGGCAGCCCCTTCAGCGGACCCGTCCTCCTGCTGGGGAGGAATGGCTCGGAGAAGGATCATTAGCGGGTGAGGAATATTCTAAGCACCCAAGTGGATTTAATTGGTTAGATCCTGAAGGTCCCATCAAGGTGATGGAAGCAACGCTGTGGGTAGTTAACTGGAACGTTTGAATCTTTAATTCCTGAGGAGGGGACGGCATCCTTGGGTCTGCTCACCCAGAGATTGTGGGGGGTCCTCTGTGGGTGACAGCGTGGGGAATCCCGCAGTGTGCAGGGGCTTGATGGCCTCTTAGGTCCCTTCAAGCTCTCAGATTCTGTGATTCTGTGATAGGAGGAGTGGAAATTGGTTTATTGGAGGCAAAAGAGAAGCCTGAAGCGGCCAGAGGTGTCCTATGTGCACATGCAAAATACAACACGCATTTAACCAGCCTCGCAGAGTATTTGATGGGATTCTAGCCTCTGCCTGGGAGTGGGGACACTTGTGGCGGGCTGAAGGCCGTGGCCTGAACCGGAGAAAGGGCCGGAGGGAGAGGCGCTGGGGAGACGGGACTCGCTCTGGCTTCCCAAGGGCGTCTGCCATCGCTTAGCACTTCCACCAGCCCGGAGCACTTTCTGCCTGAGCTGACAGTTTTATCCTCCCTTGCCTGACAACACCGTTTTTTCTCCTTCAGCAAGCAGGCAGTTTCTGCTTCCTTTCCAAGGTCACGTCTGCCCACACTTAAGCCAGGATTAAATCAGGTTTGTAACATCTTTTTTTGGCAACAGCTCATTAATGGTTTGCCACTGGCTTCACTCACAATACCTTCTGGGTTTATTTCTTGATTTGTACACATGGCTTGATTTATCTATATAGCTGGGAGGCATACAGCCAATAGTTAATACAGTATCACAACTGTTTAAAACACTGTAAAGAATAATTACAAACAAGATGAATGAGATAATAAAACTGAATTTGTGGGAGAACGCCCACTTACACACAACACAACCAACCTGCAGGTTCCCCAGGGATCCCCAAAATTGCCGGAAGAACGATGTCTTTCTTCTGAAAGATCGAGAGGGAGGGGGCTAAACTCTCCTGGGGGGAGGTTGTGGCCCAGAGGGTGGTGGGCACAGCTGGGAAGGCACCTTGCCTGGGTCTCATTAGACGGAAGCTCTTTAGCAGGTGGGACCCGCCACCTGTTCTCCTTCTGGACACGATGGGAAGAGACGGTCTTTCAAATACCCTGGTCAGATGAGGGCTTTAGAGGTCAAGACCAGCACCTAGAGTTGCACCTGGAAGTAACTGGCAGCCAATGAAGTGTGTGGAACAGGTGTGACACCTGCCACCCTAGAGGCACACGCGAGTGCAGCTATGATCTGCACCTGCTGCTGAAATTTCCAGACACTCTACAAGGGCAGCCCCGTGTACAAAGTGCTACAGGAATCCACTCTGGAGGTGACTGTGAGCAGAGCCCCGTGGGCCAGGAAGGGGTACAACTGGTGCACAATACAAAGGATTTTCCTAACAGTTTCCAACCAAGCCTGAGTGGGCTCCGGGTCCAAGAGCAATGGCCACCGGTGGGGGGGGGGCTTCTTGGTCCATCAGAGAGATGGGCTGGCCAGAATGCTCCCCTCCAATTGCCTGGCTGCACCCCAGGATCCCACCTCAGGACGAGGAGTTTGGGGCGCAGAGGCCAGGGGCTCTCTGGGCTCTTAGCTCCAGGCCTTCCCTCGGAACAAGGCAGAATCTGGATAGCCCCCCTCCCTGGAAGAAGGCGGTCTCAGAGGGGAGTTGGAAAAGCCACACAAACCGGGGGGGGGGAGGTGCGGGGGCAGCTGTTTCCATGCAGAGCTGGCCTGCCCCCCTCCAGGCCCTTCTACAGATAGGGGTTTTTCCCAAGTGGCCATCCCAGCCTTTCTCTGGTGGGGGGGAGGGAGGGAGGGAGAGGGTGAGTCGGGAAGGCCGTGGGTGCTGGCAGGCTGCACGCTGCTTGTTCCTGATGAACTCTTTGGGTTTCATTTATTCTGAACATAATTAATTCCAGGACACCGCAGTGGCTGACATGTTTCAATAATTAGTACAATCAAATCACTGTAATTGGAATAGTATTTGCAAACCCTTGGAAGGGGTGCCCACGGGGTCGCCATGGAGCTCCCTCTCTCTGTGTGACACGTGCGTGCGCATCAGCCCTGCAAAGTCACACAAGGCACCAGTGTCTGTGGCAGAGAGAGGCCGGCCTGCACAACCCAGCACAAAGGCCAGCTCTGGTTCTCGGAGCCCCCAGTCCTCCCCCCCCATCCCGTGGGGCCTGCTCTGCCACAGCTCCCCCCCTCCCAAGGAGCAACAGGGAGCAGCGCCCTGTTCTGCTGGATCAGCACCATGGACAGCAGCCAGGCCGGCACCTTCCCTTGCCTATGTCCTCCTCCTGCCCCTCCCCCCCACAGGACATCCCCCCCCCCTTTGAAAGGCCATCGTGACCATCGTGATCCGGGGCGAAGCTTCTCTGGCCTCCTCTCCATTTTCAGTCCCTTTGGGGGGAGCAATTCCTCCTCTTCCAAGCCCAGCGCTGAAAGTCAATTGAAAATTAATCCTTTCCGCCGCAGGGGCCGAGGTCCTTCCCTCCCTCTCGCACCAGCCCCTACTCCAGCCAATCCTTCAGTGCACTCTCGGCGGCTTTAGTGGTCAAAACTCTGCCCTGCTGTGCCTCAACCTACTCCGCGCCAGCTGATGGGACCGGAACTCCTGGCGCCCGGTTGAGCCAATCTCTCTGGGAAGAGCGCCCTGGAGGGGCTGGGGGCCAGAGGAACACCCCCAATGGCCAATGAAGTGCTGTTTTGCGCCATGCTGGGGGGTCCCCCTCACCCCAAATGCCAACCCTGCCCCTTAGGGGAGGTGACCTCGCCACGATTGCTGCCTACAGCCGGTGCCAAATGGGGCGCCCCAGGGCTGAGTGGAAAGAGGCAAATGCTCCATCTGTCCCTTCCTGCATAGCCCCTGCTGTAAAAGCCCCCCCCCCGTTCATTCGCTGGGGCTACTTCTACGCCTGAGACGTGGCAGCCGGGATGGAGGCGGCCCATCGGCCTGTCTGGGAATCAGCTGCCCGTCCAGGGAGGAAGGCGCACCGGTTGGGCCCCCACCCAACAAGGAGTGGATGTGGGAACCGACCCACCAACGCAGAAGGGGCCCCTACCCCTTCATGTGGGGCCAAACAGCCGAGCCCCCCTCCTCCTCATAAAGGGGGCTCCTCGTCTGGCCGAGAGCCAGCAGCTGCCCAGAGTTTTCAGGACGGCTTCTGAGCTTGTCCGACCCCAGACGCCCCTGGATTCCCGCTGGCTCCTTGGAATAGTTTTGGGGAGCAGCGTGACTGCAGACCCCTTCTCCGGCTCAAAGACCCCCAGGGTTTGTGGAGGGGCAGCTGGAGCCCCTTCCCTCATCAAAGACACAGCACCCCCCCCTCAAGAGGATGGAGCCTCTTGGGCAAAGGGCCTCTTCCAAAGCCCCGGCTGGACTGAAGGGGGGGCAGCAGCCTCATCTTCGGGGGGGGAGAGCAAGAGCCTGTACAACACACCAAACCTTTGATCAAATGAACCCCGGTTTATGCAGTGTCCCTCTTTGAGGGAGATGGGAGGCTCAGAAAGGTGAAATATAAATCAATAAATAAAACAGAAATAATTTAAGGGCCCCCCACAAGAGGTGCAAAGGGACCTTGAGCCACCCCCCCACCTGGTGCAATCCCAGCCGGGCTGTGTGTCTGTGTGTGCGCAGGGAAGCTACAGCCCAGTGCCCCCCCCCACCCCCCAGCCAAAAAGACATCGCCTGGCCCAGCTTCTCACTACTTTTATTTGCTTCCAAAGCTTGACATACATCACATTTCCTGCTTGCCCATAAAGAGGCCGGGTGCAGCTTCTGGGGGTTTGGGGGGAGAGCTTCTCCCCTGCTTCGCAGGGCCTGCTCCCCGGAGGTCAGAGCGCCTCCCCACACCCCTGCAGGCGTCAGGCTCCAGCTGTGGGCAGAGGCTGTGGTGGGGGGTGGGGAGGCGGGGGGTGAGGTGGAGGGTCTCAGCGGCTGTAGCCAAATTCATCAGCATCGTCAGCACGAAAGTCTCCGTAACGCCACAGGTTCAGCTGCAAGGAGACAAGCCGGTGGAATGAGCCCCGCCCCCGGGGAAGAAGCCCCTGCCCACTCGGGCAGGGCTTGCTTCCCCCTCCCCTCCCGGGGGGGCATGGGGGGGGGAAGCCCGCTGGCTCACTTACTCGGGCGCTCTTGGCAGCTTCCTGCGCATTCAGGTATTCCGTCATCTGCAAGAGAGAGGCAGCCTCAGAGACCGCTGGCCCCCAGGCCCCGTTTTCCAGGGCCCCTCCCTTCCCCCCGCCCCCGCAAAGCCCCCCCCTGCAGGGCTCACCACTTTCTGGAACTGCTTCTCCTTCCGGAGCTCCACCATGACCAGCCCCGTCTTGACCAGCCCCAGCCCCACGTCGGCCTTGGAGTCGGCAAACTGCAGCGTGACGTGGGTGCAGCCGGGCCCGGCGTACTCCACGTTCAGCAGGCACTGCGTGTTCTGGATGTCCCGCACGGCACTGTCCACCACGTCCGCTCGGGCCTCCTCCTGCCAGGGAAGGACGCTGCTGGTCAAGCGGGCAGAGGGGACGCGGAGCGCCAGACCAGAGACGGGGCCCAGAGTGGCCTGGGTTTGGTGGTACCGAACGGGGGCCACCCTCTCATGTCTGCCGAAGGGGGGACAGGCACTGCCAGAGGGAGCCCCCTCGAGCCCCCCTTTATGGCGGTGCTCCCCGCGGAGAGGCTGCCTTCCAGTGAACTGTGAGAGCCCCGAAAGAAAGCAATGCACGATACGCCCCCCCAACCCTCGTGAAAGGAACGTCAGAATGCAGCACTACAAAGTAACAGCATCCTAAACATAAATGCAAAAGCAATTAAAAGCATAAATCAACTTTAAAAAGTTAAAAGGGGGTGCAGCTGCCTGCCATCCCCCACCTTTTCTCTGCTGCTCAGCTGCCATCCCAGGTGGGGGGGGCTACAGGACACCCTCTTCCTTCCCTGGACTTACATCCTGAGGCACCTGGATGAAGGCAAACTTGTATTCGGTGGCCTGGGCGGGCAGCACCCGGGTGCCAAAGCCCTGTGGCAGGGTGGCCAGGCGGGTGGAAGGCAGGGTCTCCTTCTGAAGTGGGGGGGGGGAGAGAAGGAAAGCAGGCGGTTAGTGGGTGCAGCGGCCTGTCCACTCCCCCAGACTCCCGGCTGCGGCCGCAGCTGTTCCAAGCAGCCAAGATGGCGGCCGAAGGCGGCACCCCCTGGATCTTGGCAGGCAGAGGCTGAACAATGGGGAGGGGGTGCTGTGAGGGACCACGGGCTCTTTCCAAGGACTAAGACCAACCAGTCAGGTGGGGCACACCTATGGACCCCAGACCCACTCTGTCATCTTCCCTGGGCTTGTCTCCATCGCCACAGATGACTTGAGGGCTTCTCTGGCAAAAATGGCATAAATCCCCACCCGTGATTTCTAGCACAGGCGCCTCTGCCCCCTTGGCTGGGCCCACCTAAGAAGACAGAGGGTTCCCAGCGCCCCTTCTCCCCTTCCTCCCAACTGGGGGCCTTTGGGGGTCTGCTGCCCCAGCCCCCCTGCCCGGGCCCCTCTCAGCCTACAGGGCCCCTTCTCTGCCCGGGGGGGCAGTGGTAGGGAATGAGCACCCCGACTGCAGAGTCCTCGGCTGCCTCCCAGAGGGACGTTCAGTCTGCTTCTGCCCCATCGACACCCCCTCTTCCCCCCCCCCGTTTCTCTGGCCCCAGAGCCTCCCCTGTCCTGAGCAGCTGCTTCCACTGCTTGGCGCTGCTGCAGCTGCTTCCTGCTCAGGATCAAGGGGGGGCCCTCCCCTGCACCCCCTTACTCACGTTGCCGTAGTCGATGTAGAAGACGTGCACTTTGGCCAGGGACTCCACCTTCTCCACCCGCGCCCGGTACCTGAGAGGGAAGGAGGGGCACCTGGGCATGACCTCTCCCCAGGGAGGGGCCTCACCCGCCAGCCCAGACTCTGCCCGCTTCTCTGCTTCCCTCGCCCACGGCCGTCCAACCTCTGGGCCTACCGAGCAGAGACCCTCCCCCCTCCCTTCCCAGCAACCCCCCCGCACCCCCTCTTCCAGCAGCCCCCCCCCCGGCCCCAGGGACTGGCTCCTCCCTCTGGCCGCTCATGGGTCCCCCCTCAAAAAGCCCAAGCCCCCCCTCCCTCGGCTGTGCTTCCCAACCTTTCTCCAGACTGGCCCAGGCCAGCCCCTCCCTCCGGCGATCGGCTGGAAGTCAGAGGGGTACAGCTGTGCTCGGAGGGCACCGCAGGGCCAGGTCCTGCAGTGGGTCCGAGGCTCCTGATGAGGAAGGGGTTGGCCTGGTGCCGGCCCGGCCCGGCAGGGAAGATTGGCCAAAGGGTCGCTTCTCACTCTGGGAGGGGAAGAGGGTCTCTGGGTGACCCTGGGGGTCTCTGTGCATACCATTCTCCATCCACAAATTTGGCAATGCAGAAGTCCCCACGACGAGGGCTGTAGGCCCCTTCTACAGGGGGGCAGCCAGCAATCTCGCCCCGCATGCTCTCCATCAACTTCTCCAGCTGGGTCCCTGCCGGGGGGGGGGGAAGAGTAAGTCAGGCCGGCCATCTGGACAGCCACCCCCCCCACGCTAGCCTGGTCATCCCCCGACCCCTGTGCCCACCTCTGCTTCTTGGTGGACCTCTGAGCCTCACCTGATCCAGGCCCCCATTGACCACTCATGACCTGGCCTCCCCTCCCTCCCTCTCCCCGAGACCCTCTTCCCCACCCAGAGCCTCCAGCTGTCCCTGTCTCCCTAAACCGGGTGTGGGGCAGAAGGCCAGCCCCCTCCAGCTGCCCCTCACCTGTCTCCACGTCCTGCACGTAGAAGTGGAGGTCATCGGTGACCTCCGTCACAAAGACGGGCTTGTAGTTGGCCGTGCGTTCCTTCTCCTCGGCTGTGGTCACCACGTCTTCCACAGGGGGCTCTTCGTACTGTGACCACACCTGGGGAAGAGAGATGCGGGGGGGTGTCAGTGGGGTGAGGCAACAGCCTGCCCTGGGGGAGCCCCACGTGCAGCGCATGGCAGGAATTCAACTGGGAGGGCACAGGGACTGTCTGAAGACCCTTCCCCCCCCCCGGTCCAGGGACAGGCCCAGCAGGTGCACGAAGGTCCCTCTGACCACGACGGCCACTTGCTCCTCTAGCAACTCACGCTGTCCTCTACCACGCAACCCATAGTGCTCAGAAACCGGAGGCCGGATCACCTCTTCCAGTTTGGCCCGTTTGGGGCCCCAGAGGGATGAGCTGTGGGTCCTCCTCCCCATCTGGCCCCTTTCTGAGGGCCACCAGCATCTGCCCCGCCTCCCTTGGGGCGCTGCTTTCTCCCAGAGGGGCTCCCCCGGCCCCTTCGAGACCCCCGGAGCTAATTGCTCGAGTGACAGAGTTGGAAGGGACCTTGTAGGTCATCCAGTCCGGCAGACCCAGGTGCTGCCCAACCGCTGCTCCCCCCCCCCNCCCCCCCCCCGCTCTGAGTAGCAGCAGCAGCCCTGCTGGGAGGCCACCCACCCTCACCCCCCCAGTGCCCGGCTGGTACCTTCTCCTTCTTCTGCTTGGCGGCGGCCTCGGCCACCACCAGGGGCTTGTAGTAGTTGCTGCGCTCGGCCGTGAAGTGCACCTTGGAGAGGGCCTGCTCCACCAGCGCCACCGAGAGGTTGACGCCCTCGATGTGCAGCCACCCGATGAAGTTCCCGGCCTTGTCCATGCCCTCCACTTCCACGTCCACCTGCAGGGGGCAGAAAACGGCGGGCAGCTGTGGGAGGGCGGGCTGGCAGGCTCCCCAAAGGCTCCGTCTCCCCCAGCCACGCCATCCCCCCCCACAGAGGCGCATGCCTCATCCTCCTCCTCCAGAGGGAGGAGCTTCCTAAGACCCCCACCCACCCCCTAGCCCAGGGTCTCCTCATGAGAAAATGCCTGCCCCACCCCCCCCAAAGCCCATTTCCGCCCTGGGTGTCCTGAGGCGGCTTCACCAGCAGCTGGTGACTCTGCTCAGAGCGCCGGGATGGATGGTGGGCAGCGAGCCAGGGCCGCGGGGCAGCTGAGGGCAGGGCGTTCGCCCTCCAACCGCTTGGCCGAGCCCGCCTCTGCCGCAGCCTCTCCCAGAGCAACCCTGCTCCCTTGGGGCTGCCCTCTTCCAACCTGCCCCCCCAGTCTCCTAGACGGCTGCTTTGGGGACTGGGGTCTCTGCTGCTCCAGGGTCTGGCTGAGCCCTGCTTGGAGGAGCCCCCCCCCCCGGATGCCCTGCCAGCCTCTCCTCGCAGCTCAACAGGGGCAAAAGCCGGCATTGCAGGAGCTGCAGCGCCTGGAGGGAGCGCAGGAGCCCCCTTGCAGAAGAAGGCCCTGAAAGCCAGGCCGGCAGGACGCAGGAGCGCTTCCAGCTGACTCCCGTCTCCTGGGAGGGGCTGCCGGACTCCGCCCCAGACCAAGGGCAGCGGTCCTCGACCCAGGCCGGACTCCAAGACAGCACCGGCAGCCCAAGGGTAATGGGGGGGGCGCCTTGGAGGCCAGGCGTGCGGTGCAGCTGGCTTGCTCCTCCGGGGCCATAAAACCAGCCCTCGTCACCACAAACACTTGTACCCCTTTCAGGTGTTTCAAGCTCGGTTAAGCAATGGAGTGAACGTGCCCACAGCCTCCCCACAGCCCTCAGCCACCTCCGCAGATCGGCCTCCCTCCCAGGGCTGCAAGACACGTCGGACACACCACGCCGTTCCACAAGTGGCCAGGTCCCCCCCGAGGGAGGCTTGCGAGGGCCACTTGTGGGGGAGACCGGCTCCAGCCTGCCTTCCCCAGCCCAGCAAGAGGGTCTCGGGGGCCTGTCCGAAGGGCCCACTTCTGTGGCTGCCCTGGCACAACTGGGCCCGAGGGCTTCTCTGCCAGCCCTCACGGGTGCCGCTTAGCTGGAGGCAGATGACAGCTTCCTTCTGCCATCCATCACTCCAGCCCACCAGGTGGGGCCCTTATCAGGAAACTGTGAAGGCTGCCAATCAGGCTCAGGGCAGGCGGGTGTGTGGAGCATCGCCCGAGGGAGTCTAAAGCTGGGGTCTTCCTTGTGGGCCCCTCCTCAAGGATACCGGCTAATGTAGATGCCTGGCCCTTCGGCTCTGTCCACCCCTCCACCAGCGGAAGAAGGGCCGGGCTGATGCCCCAGCACCTGTGGGGAGAATCCTGGAGCCAACCAGCCAAGGCGGGGTGGGTGGAACAGCCGATGGGCTTGGAGGAGAAGGGTCCTCCCAAGGGAAGGGGCTGCCCGCCATGGCCAACTCACAGCACCTCAATGGGCAGGGATCCCTACAGTTGCCCATAAAGTTGCCCAACTTCTAATTTGGCCATCCTTTGGTCTCTCTCAAATGCCTTTCAGTGAGGAAGAAGCATTGGCTGGACTCCGCAGAGACTTCATTGCCCATGCCCACCCCTTGCCCAGCTGCCATGCACTGATGCCTCCGCCCGCAGCTTCCTCCGGAGAGCCTGGTGCCCCTCGCCCACTGCTCCACCTTGGCAACCAGCTCACTGGCAGACAAGGGCCTCCACAGGGCCCAGAGCGCTGGCCCCGTCCTCCTCTGTTCACCTGGCACCAGGGCTGGTGTCTGCCCAGCTGGCTGCCCGTCAGGAAGGGGCCAGATCCTGAGGGTGGAGAGCGGCCAGAAGCTCAGCCACCCTGCCCTCTTCCAGACTAGCCCTGAGGTGGAGCAGCCCTTTGCTGCTTTGAGAGAGAGAGAGGGGGGGAGAGGGGGGGAGGGGAAGAGGAGAGAGAGAGGCTGCAAAATAGTGCACGGTTTTGCAAGGGCAGCATTCAGGGCGCGGTGGGAGGGGGCATCAGGTATGACCCTCGGGAGCGCCCACAGCTTCAACCTGGCCAAGGGGCCAGAAAGTATCCCTCTGAAAGCAGGCAGGAGCCCCAAAGAAATGGGCCTTCCAGGGCCGTCCCTGAGCAGTTGTCAGGCCTCGACACTTCCTGGCATTAAACTGGCTTCACCTTTCCGACTGACTTTATAGATGCTTATACTGTATTTTTAATTGTGGCTTTAAATGCTAGTGGCATTTTTCACCTGTGTTTAGCTACTGGTTGCCACCAGGAGATTTTATTTATTTTATTTTTATTTATTTTTATTTTTTGGATTTATATCCCGCCCTTCTCCCGTAGGACTCAGGGCGGCTGACAATCTATTTAAAATACATACAAAACAATACAAATTTAAAATTAATTAAAAGGAATATTTAAATATTTGTCGAATTTTAAAATATAATTAAAACCCCCCTAAAAATTACCCTAGGCCAGTCCTGCAAGCTGGANTGGGCCGAACTTGGGGGCCCTGGTCACGAATTGCCCCCGCTGCTTCCCAGGTGCTCAGGATTGGGAGACTCTGTGCCCGGGTGGGCTCCTCCCCTCTTTCCCCCCCCCACGGTATCTGGGGTTGCCTTCCTTCCTGTGTGTTCCTCCTCCCCTGCCTACACCTAAGGACCCCCGCAGCACCTGCCCCAGGTGCCTTTTCAGCCTTCTTCCCATTTCTTTTGAGGCTCAGCTCATCCCTTGCCAAGAGCCCCCCTTCTTGGTAACCCATCAGCCACTCCCCCGACCCCATCTGTCCAGCCAGATGTTTCTCTCTCTTCCTGGGCCAGGTCCTTCAACAGGGAGGGATGAAGACAAGCCCCTCCCCCCCCGTGTCCCTCACCCTCTTGTCCAGCACCCCTCAGTCCCTGCACAGTCTGCAGGGGTGGGGTCTGTGCCCGGGGCTGTTGGCGAGATTCTTTCTCCGGGGGGGGGAAGTCCTCCCATCCCATTTTCTTGATGGCCTGAGAGGTCTGCAAGCCCCCCCCCCAGCCAGCAGGCAGAGGCCCCCCTCTTCTGCTGCCTCTCAGAAGGGAACCTGACCACTCTCAGCCCTCTCCTCCTCCCCCCCTCCTCAGCACCAGGTAGAACGCTTCCCATCATCCTGAGCCGTGGGCTTGGGACCGTTCCTCTTCATCCAGCCCCCCCCACCGAGGTCCGTTCTGAGCCTCTGGATTATTCCTCTGCAGCTCCCGCCTGCCCTGCCTGTCCCCCCCCCCGTAGAGGGCCCCCCCTTTATTGGGGCCTGTGGGAGGGGCCTTTTAGCAGCTCTTCCCCATTGGGACAGGTGTCCCCTGGGACGAGGACGGCCCCAAACACGGCTCTTCCCGAAGGCCTTTTGGGGTGAACCGGAGGGGGGGGCGCGTCCCACTGATGGCTGCTTTAATTTCAGCCACTCTTTACTATTCAAACGGCAACGAAGTTATAGATTTTACGATTCGATTGCTTTTAATACTGACTTGTACTGTTTGATACTCTTAATGCCGTAAGCCGGCTAAGTTGCTGCCCGTAGATAAATCCCATAAAGCAGCAGACAGAATCCCTCATCTCTGCCATCTTGGCTTCCGGAGGCTCCCCCTCCCCCCTCCCCGCCCCCAACTCCAGACTCCTCCACTTGCCTTCCTGCCCTGGCACTCCCCCCCCCCGAGGGAATTTGCCTGTGCCTGAAACCCTCTGGGGGGGGAACAAGCCAGGCCCCCACCTGCAGCCGGTGAAAGCCGCTCCTTCCGCCTCCATCTTCTGCGGAGGAACCAGAGGGGGGCCTGGCCTGACTCCCCCCCCCCCCGGTCTCCTTCCCCTGGTGACCTTCAAGGTCTCCTCTTGGAAAGGGGGGGGGAAGAGACGCAACCTTCAGGTTCTCCGTTTCCTCTGCCCACCCATCTGAAATCTGCAGGATCGGAGCAGGTGCCACGGAGGGGCAAGAGAGAAGCGCCTGCCAGGGGCAGCCACAGCAGCCGGTGGGGGGAGGGTCCGGACCAGAAGTCAGGAAGATGAGCCCCACGGGGGGCTGGGGGGACAGGACACTGACCCGATGCTTGCAAGGAGGAGTTGGATAAGCTGGCAGCCTCCTCTCCATGGCCAGAATGGAGGCATGCAGGGGAAGGCGGACGCTCCTCCCTCTCGGTCAGGCCGCTGCTTGGGCCCTTCCTGGTGGGCTCCCCAGGAGGCCGCCTCGGTGGCCAAAGGGCCTGCTGGGCGGGGGAGGGCTGCCCGTGCTGCCCCCACTGCCTCTCTCTGTGTCTGAGGAGGCCTGGCAGTGGGGGGGGGGGCGAGGCAGGGTCCCCAGCCCCTTTTGGAGCAGCAGAGCTTGGAAAAGGGAGTCAACTGCTGAACACCAATGCCAAGCGCCCCCCCCCC